CATTGCGCCACTGCACTCCAGCCTAGCAACAGAGTGAAACTCTCTCTCAAAAAAAAAAAAAAAAAAAAAAAAAAAGCCCTGGATAAACCAGAATAAACTAGGAGAAGTTGGTAACCCTCTCAATGTTATGTGACATACTTAATTCTCTCAAAGAAAAGTAAAAAGCAGGCATTATTTCCTTCATTTTTCAGATAATAGAACTGAAACTCAAATGTCAAAGCAACATGTCTTGTTGCAACTAACTGGTAGCAAAGGCTTGCTCCATGCCCAGGTCTATCTGGCCCCAAAACTTGTGCTCTGAACATTTCCATTGTGCAGGCTTATGATATACAGATTTAAGAAATGGCCCTATTGTAATTGGGTTACAATTACATATATCTGTGGCTGTTACAGGAATGACTACTTTGTAGCCTCCTAAATAGGCTTGGAAATCCAACTACTGGATTTTTGCTTAGATTTTTAAGCTTAGAAGTACAGACTGAAATAGAGAGCTTTGTATCATCTGTGTATCACCTTTGATAAACTTTTGTGAAATCTTACCAACAGTCTTTTCTAAAGAAAAGCATTTCTGCAGTTTGGAACATTTCCATTTCCATTCTGGAAAGCCCTCTTACCTCCCACCAATTTGAAGGGAATGCTACTGTCAATTCGGCTCACTTTAAAGAAACCCCTGCATTGTATTCCATGCACCAGTCCTCAAAGCTGTGTAGCGACACCAGAAATGGAAGTCAGATGGAACTGGTCTCATAATCATCACGGTTTTCTTTAGGAAACAGAATCACTGTTTTCTTTTCCTTCACAACGCTTTGTGTGTGTGTGCATACGTGTGTGTGCATCTGTGTGCGTGTGTGTGTGTGTGTGTGTTTAGCAGGCATGGGATAGTGCAATGTGAACTCGGAAAATGAAATAACTACTGTAGATGAAAACAGTCAAACTCTGTAAAACATTTGAAGAGATTTATTCTGAGCCAAATATGAGTGACCATGGCCCACGACACAACCCTCTGGAGGTCCCAAGAACATGTGCCCAAGGTGGGCAGGGCACAGCTTGGTTTTGTATATTTTAGGGAGGCATGAGACATCAATCAAATACATTTAAGAAATACATTGGTTTGGTTCAGAAAGGCAGGACAACTTAAAGCAGAGTGGGCGGACAGGGGGCGGGGGCTTCCAGGCTATAGGTAAATTTAAACATTTTCTGGTAGACAATTGGTTGCGTTTATCTGAAGATCTAGGATCAATAGAAAGGAAATGTTCAGGTTAAGATAAAGGATTGTGGAGACCAAGTTTTGTTGTGCAGAGGAAGCTCTCAGATAGCAGACTTCAGGGAGAGCAGGTTGTAAAATGTTTCTTATCCTACCTAAAAGGGCACCTAGCACTTAGTTGATTATCGCCTGGATCTGGAAAGGAAGGAAGGAAGACAAAAGGAAGGGGAAAGAGGATTCTCTACAGAATGTGGAGTTTTACCCCAAGGGATGGCTTTGCAGGACCATTTCAAAATATGACAGAAAAACATTTTGGGGTAAAATATTTTTATTTTCTTCCTTGTTATGCCAGAGTCAGATTGAAAAGTAAGTCACGATATACAGGGTTAAATAAAACCCATCTGACGAGAATTTATGGTTTGTAGGGCATGACTCTCCAGACCCCTTAGGAATTTGGGCAAGATTTTTAAAAATCAGAGCTTAGTCCTCACTACTCTTAGAAAGAATGCTTTAAAGGACAGGAGGAGTTACAGACAACAAGAAATGCTTAGTTTCAAGGTTGTGTGATTTTATCAGTTCTCTGCTTTTGGGGAAAAATAAGCCCATAAAAGTCTTTGCTAGCCCTGGTGCCAGTTCAGGCTCAGAAAACCTGAGTGTAAGACTGAGCCCTAAACAGTATTGCCTACTGGTTGTTAAAGCAAGGGTACACTGACAAGTGTAGTGCATTCATTCATTCATTCATTCATTTATTCGAACAAAGTTAAACTGAGAGCTTGTGATGTCTCAGAACTGTGCTAGGCACTAGGAACACACAGAGGAAAGCAGTGACATCCTATCTCATGAAATCAATAGATAAGACTAAAATTATGTAGAGTCAAAATTATCCTTAAATGTTTCTCAAATCACCCATAAAGTGTTGTCTTTGGTTAGGTTCCCTAGAAGCAGAACCTGAGATAAGGATGCAAGTAATTGAAAGGATGCAAGTAATTGAAAAAGTACTCTCAGGTGAAACCTGCATGGTAGTAGAGGAAGCAGGGCAGGGCAGAGGATCAGATTCAGCAAATGTGTGAGTTCAGTCAGCTGAACAGCTATAGTCTAGCCTCAGCCTGACTACAAGGAGCCGTGGGGCACACAAAGCACCATGGATTTGTACCCCCAAAAGACAAAAAGGGCAGCCTTTTGTATCCTAACAATCAGGCATGGGATATGGGCCTCTCCAGGACATGGGCCTGTTTGGCATTCCTGGAGGAGGTGGCTCCAATCGGATGCGGGCAGTTCTCAAAAGAAGAGTGTGCTGTGAGCAGTTAGCAGCCAACAGTCACAGCAGCTGGGAGGGATGCTCTGGCAGAGTAAAGGGAATCTGGAGAGGGATGTCGCCATCAGCTACACAAGGACACAGGATTTATGTGACATGTTAGAAACATACATATCATTTGTTAATAAATACAACAGAACAATAGATTTTTCCCCATCAGTGCAATAGTTCACCATTTATTTGGATGCACTACAGAGGAAGTAGTTTGCTTGTGTTCAGGGGCCATGTTGTATGAAAAATGCGCGTCTCTCAACACCCGGCACAAGGAGATGCTCATGCCTGGAAGGGTGTTCCCACAGGATCTGAGGCAGACTATGTTCCCAGGAGGCAGACCCAGATGTCATCACACAGGATGTTAGGAAGTGCCCTTGAGGCCAACACCTGTGGAAAGGGGCGATGGAAGCAGGAGTGAGTTAAGGGAGAAGTCCAGCCACCCCTGCCCGGTGCAGCTAAATGGCTTGTGGGAGCTGACCTGTTTAGGGCCCAAATGGTCACACCTTTACGCCCTTCCATTTACCTGCATATTGGGCCATCTTGGGAAGGGCATGAACTTGAGTGAGGTGGCTCTCTGCAGCTGATGCTGTCCCCTCAAGGGACAACTGGAGGCTACTCGCTGACTGTTCTCCCTGCAGCGAGGCAGCAGGTCCTTTCTGGAATGGGGCTGGGCAGCAAATAACTGTGTCCATCCACTAGTGGAGGCAACTCACAGGCTCACTCGTATTCACCCCCAGCACACAATCACAAGAATAGGCACAAGACTGCCCCTCACCAAAGTTGTTTTCTCATTGAGGGGGATGGAAAGTCAGGGACTGGACACACATACTTAAAGAACCTACAATTTAATTAATGCTTTAATGTTTAATATTAATTCAGAACTTTTGTCACTGGTTTATCCTTAGTTAGAAGTGGATAGTCTATCCTACTTTTTAAGGTTATTTTTTTCCCATTTTCATTTAGTGACAGGCATTGTACTAAGTACCTTACATGCATTACCTTATTTAATCCATACAAAAATCTTATGAGAGAGATAATATTATTATTTCCAATTTTATAGATAAGGGTTAGAGAGGTTAGAAAAAACTTGCCCATAGTGAAATCATATAGCCAGTATTTGAACCAAAGTCTCTCTGACTCCAAAGCTCAAACTCTTAACCACTCTACTAAAGCCAACTATGAAAACTTTCACATTACCCTTTGATGGACCGTAGCTCATTCACTCATTCACTCAGCAATGGTTCTTTTTTTTTTTTTTTTTTTTGAGACAGAGTCTCACTCTGTTGTCCAGGCTGGAGTGCAGTGGTGTGATCTCAGCTCACTGCAAGCTCCACCTTCCAGGTTCACGTAATTCTTCTGCCTCAGCCTCCCAAGTAGCTGGGACTACAGGCACCCGCCACCACGCCCAGCTAATTTTTGTATTTTTAGCAGAGACAGGGTTTCACTGTATTAGCCAGGATGGTCTCGATCTCCTGACCTCGTGATCCACCTGCCTCAGCCTCCCAAAGTGCTGAGATTACAGGCGTGAGCCACCACGCCCGGCCACTCAACAATGTTTTAATGAACATGCCCTATTCCAGGCTCTGTGCTGTGTTGGTATTAAAGATTCAACAAAGAAACCTCTGATAGGAAGCATATGTGCATGCGTTCTTGTGGGTCATCCTTCCTCTGTGTGTGTGTAAGTGTGTGTGTGTATTTGTGATAATCTCAAGAGATTAATGCAAATTGTGAGGACCTTCACATATTTCTGTGAAAGGAAAATAAAAATCTCAGGACTCCAAACTCACTATACCAAAGGGAAAAGTTAAGCTTAGGAGTTAAGTCACCCAAAACTGCCTTCCATTTTGTTCCTAAATAGATAACTGCAAAAACAGAAGGCCACATACCTTTCTAGGGGACTCCCTCACAATTTCTCACAAAGAAATTCCTTGTGGGCCCTAAGGTCTTTACCCTAAAACAGATTTCTGTTGGATTTCACCCCATGTAAATTAACAGCTTATCTTCACAGGTGTGGGACAAAGACAGGACTAGGAGTCATCCTTCTGCTCACTTGAGACAAATGCACATTTTACTCATTAACTATTCTATGTTTCTTTTATCTTATGTAAAAATGCAAGTTCATTGAGCATGAGATGAATGCATATTTGGCTGTTTCTCTATCCCTTCCTCTCACATATAAAATGTAGATTCAGTGAATGCTCATCAAAGCTTCAAAAGAATTTAACTGTTTTCCCCTTTTCTCTACCCTCCCTTTTCCTTTCCTCTTTCCCCTACTGCCGACTCTTTCCCTCTTAAATATTGAAGTCCTCAAACCCTCTTTGGGAGTCTTCTCACAGATCACAAATGTTCCTGTGATTTGTGTTCCTTTTTCCCAGGCACACTCTCAACTGGGGCAAAATAAACCTCTAAATTGATTGAGACTTGCCTCAGTCATTTTCTTTGGTTTACATTTCCTAGTAACTCAATTCACTGTTTTCAACTTAACAGGCTAAAAGAGATGCTAAGAGAATGTCTGCAAAAGAAGTCACCATTAATGTAACAGACAGCATCCAACAGATGGACAGAAGTCGAAGAATCACAAAGAACTGTGTCAACTAGCAGAGAGTCCAAGCAGAAGGGTAGATGGACTTCTTCTGTGTCCTTCAAGGCACTGGATACCATCAAAGAACCTTGAAGAAGTGGCTGCCCCTTGCTGGACCTGAATGCTACTGAGTCCCTGGCAAGACTGTCTTACCTGGCAGCAAACTGCTGCCTGATTTGTTGGGACCCTTCTGAGCCTTCTACTTATCATGTAAATGTATTGGCATAGTGCTTACATATGTTAATAAACTGCAAATGTGCAGTTCAGTTTGTCTCTTTGCAACTCCTATAATAGGGTCTGGTGTAAAAGTAGTGAGTTAAAACTACAGGTCAGTTATGAAACAGAAAAGTAGGAATGCATTTCCTGGGTGAAAGAGTCACACCTTAGTACTAAACTCTCCTGCTCATTATAGTGTGTTCTGTTTCAGGCAAGCTTATTCTTTCCTTCTTTCATTTTAAATATTATCATTACAAATCTTACCAGGGTCACTTAAAAGCTGGCTTCCATCCAACTCTAAACCCACATATTGAAAAAATCAAGGTAGAGAAAAACTCCTTGTTATCCTTGTTTCCTTAGCTTCGTATGAGACAGATCAGATCCAGTTTCCCATGGATCAACCCACTGCCCATAGCATGTCTTTGGGAGGTGTCTGTGAAGCAGTTATACCTGCTCCTCATCTGCCTGGAAAGTCCTCCTATTCTGATGTCCACGTTGGCCTCCAGTCCTTAATGTCACCATGCTTGTGGCCAATGCATCCAAATAAGGATACCCCTCAGGGCTCAGCCAGACATTGCAATTTTACATAGCTTTCCAGTTTCCTTTGCTTGTCTTCTTAACTGTCTTCCCTCTCTATTGGGGTCATTTGCAATTGTTAATCAAAGATTGAACACTGCGTAGGAGAAGGAGATGATCCAGAGACATGTGGCAGCATGCATGGCTTCACCTTGGTCTCTCTGTTCACCACCCCAGGACTGTCATTTTGGCATCTACAAAGGAATCACTTTAGAAAGCCAGCACCTGGTTGATGTGTATTCACACTGACATTAGATTGATGTGCACTGCATTAGAAATGAAGTAGCTGACACAGAAAAAGGATGTTTTGATAGGAATAATTTTCTAGTATGTCTTGAAATGTTCATCTGGATGTATTTTCCTCCAAACTAATGTAGCAGGATTTTTCAAGGATTGTTAACATGCCTGGGATTGGGAAAGATAGGACTAAAGTTGTACCAAACTATACCAATAAATTCCATGTTTAGCAGAAATAGGCAGCCTAATGATGTTATGTTTATATAACATAGTCCGGAGAACTGACATGCAGGTCAAAAGTCAGATACACAACCTCCTTATCTGCTAACTCTGTTATTCTTCAAACACAAGTGGGTAGTGTCATTTTTCCTTCCTTCCTTCCATTGGCAGATTGCATATTTATTCAATAAACATTAAATGTCCATCCTGTGCCAGGTACTATGCAGATGTTGAGGGATTTGGAGTCTGGTTAGCCATTACTGTCTATCCTGAATCTAACAGTGACTTCATAACTAGGAGACTGAATTAGACCCTTAAGGTATAGCGTGTGTTGCAAATCACTCAGCAATGGAATCTTTTATATTCAGGGTAGGTTTGTGTCTTAAACTAGGTGTTCTAATCACTGTACAAGACTTTACCATACACAAAACTATAGTTTTTCTAAACCTTTATCATTTTGTGATTCTTTGAGAAAGGGCTTTTAGGAACTTTATGTTCTAAAAAAATTGTCTTAATAATAATAAAATAAAAGCAAAACCTGTGACTCATATGTCCCCACTGACATTACTCAGCAGGAGCCCCCAGCTGCCAAAGGTTGGCAGTGATCCTGCGAGTTCAAGGGCTCTTTCTCCCTGGGGATGTGCTTTGTGGCTTCTCTTTACAGCTTTGTTTCTGCATCAGTTCACTGCTGCATGTTGTTTGGAATTTATCACCGTAAGAAAGTGTCTCTGTTTTATATAGAAACACTTTCTCACTTCCAGGGGAGAAGGAAATGCAGGGCATATGATCTGGCCCTCCCCAGAACAATCTGGATTTCATGGAGACAGCAACCAGAAGTTAAACCGTGTGACTAAAAATGCATCTGGCTACTTTTTCATGTGTATATGATACAGAAACTAATCCTTACTATCCTTTTAGGATAACACTTTCCATGGCAAAGTTTGTGTCAATAAAGTCATTAATTTTAAACATATTTGGGCAGTTACAGAGAATCTTTACTGGAACCTTAAATTTGTATGCAGAGCTATTTAGACTTTTTTTTTTTTTTAATAAAGACCTTTTGCATAAGTGATCCCTGTGAATCCTCCAAAAAGCCTTGTGAAGTAGGTAAGGAGAATGCTATTAGCACCAATTTACACTTATAGAAATATTTATAGTCTAGTCAACTAGTAAGTTTTGGTGTAGAGATTCAAGTGGGGGAAGACTGTCTGCAAATTCAGTTCTTTTCCTACCACCACATGGTGCCACCATGTCTAGAAGGTCTGGTGTAACCGGGAGATGAGGCCATTTAGAGGGGAATTGTCATGGAGCCTTGGGCTGGGCTGAGCCCAAGTCTAAGAGGACAATTTGGGTGATTGGAGGGGGCTAGAGAGAGAGAATTGAAGAGGGCTGGTAGTGAAGGCAGTGACTGGAAAGGGCCAGTGAGTTCTCAAGGAGTTTGGGTCTGGTCCAGGCTCACTTATCCCTCCAGAGAGGGTGACCTTGACCTGGTGTGAGAGGTCAGGATACTGAGAGGGACTTTATAGTTCAGAGAACATAGAAATTGCACTCCTTGGAATAACTGCTTAGACCTAAAGGTAAGGGAAGCCAGGGACTGCCCATGCTGCTGCCAACGCCCTGAGCACAGCTTGGATGTACAGGTAACAGACAGTAGCCCCTCAGACTTTATTCATGGCCCACCTTCACAGTGCTTTCCACAACCCACCCCCACCTCCCAGGGTACCTGAACACACTCCCGTTTGCACTGCCTGTCTGAGTCCTGCTAACCTGCATCTGTTTTTGATCCTCACCAGCCAGACTTGCAGGCTGCTCCATGTGACACTGAAATGCCTCCCATTCACATTTGCTGCTCTAAGCAGGGTTTACGATACTGGCAGCTCCTCTGCTGAAATCAGGTAACAGAGCTGCTGTTTTTAGCTGTCATGGTGTCAAAACTTAGGAATTTCACATAAATAACCAGCTCTGGCAGAGACTCCTACTTTATAACTCCAGTATCCATCCTTCCCTTCTTCCTTAGTTTAGCATATGTCCACTTAGAACAAACATTACACTTTCCAGCCTCCCTTGCAGCTAGAAGTTGCTGCACAATTAAGTTCTAGACAATGAAATGAAATAAAAATGAGGCATAGAAGTTTCCAGGAAGTCAGGCTCGCTCTTTCCCCTTTTGCTTCCTGGTGTACAGAATGAGGAGGTAATGGCTGGAGCTACCTCAGTCCACTGGGCCATAAAGTAACTTCAAGAATGAAAACCATGCCAAGATGAGCAACAAGTTAGAAGGAGCATGAGTCCCTAATTCCTTTGAGCTTCATGAGTCTTTGACTACATACCTCAAACCTCTTTTTGTGGGGAAGTCGCTGTTTCAAATGATTACTCACAGCCAAAACTAATTCCTTTTCTTTCCAAGTCTAAGAAATTGAACAAAACTATTATAATTTGTATGCGTATACTTCCATCTTTCGAAAAATTGGAAGATCGCTCACCCTTGGGCCCTTGGCTGCTTGGCCACATCTGGCTGGAGTTGATGAGTCTGCATTGGCTATAGCTGGGGGGTCTCAGATTGTGATGGTCCCTACCACTTATTGTGGCTTACACACGGTAACCTCCCCATTTCTGTTACCTGCCAGAACCTAGAGACATTTGGGCTTGTAACTCCTGCTCCACTTTATGTTCCCAAGCATGTTGTCTTTACACTCTTTTCAGGAGTCATTAAGATACACAAGGTCATATTCTTCTGTTTCACCAGTCTGGGAAGTGGCTAATCTCAGGAGAATTTTCTGAGCAAATTATGAATATTACCTAATATTTAAAATCATGCATTCACTTAACTCATTTATTTAATCCAAATGTATTTACTGAGACTCTTCAATGTGCCAGAAGTTGGGATGTGGTGAGAGATACCACAGATATGGTCCCTACCCTCATGGAGATGGCAAAATAGTAGAGGAAACAGACAATAACAATGTAAAGAAATAAGTTATTACAGTAACTTAAGATGGGGATAAATGCTGAAAAGAATGTTAACAGGAGAATGAGCTGGACAGAAGCAGGAATGCAAGCAGGAGACCGTTTAGGAGGCTACAGCTATAACTCTGGGAAGAGATGTCAGTGCAAGGAATAGGGTAATGGTTGCAAAGATGGATGAAAATAGATGGATGCTGAGAACATTTTGGAAATAGAAACATAAGGACTTGCTGATGGACTGGGTGTAGAAAGTGAAGTCAAGGGAGAAATCAGGGTGATTCCTAAGTTTTTTGATTTGAGCAACAGGGTTCTTGGCAAGATAGGGGAAAACGGGGCGGGAAAAGTTTTTTTGGGGAGGCAGTGAAAATCAAAAAGAACCATTTTAGACCAATTAAGTATGAAATAACCAAAGGGAGGTGTCCAACAGGGAACTGGATGTACGAGTCTAAAGTTCAAGGAATTGGTCAAGGGTGGAGCTGTGCATTTGGGGGTCATCAACACATGCAAGATATTTAATGGCACAGGAGTTAGTTCACCTGATGAGAAGCTAGTGAGGGAAGTCCAGGGCTGTGCCGAGAGACACTCCAACATTCAGAGAGTTGGTGGTGGAGGAAGAGTCAGTAAAGGGTACTGAGAAGTGCTGAGGCAGTTAGGAAGAAAACAGGGAGCTTATTTACTGAAGCCAACATTTAAAAAAAGGTTTCATGAAGGGAGAAATGGTCAGTCATGGTGAATGCTGCCAAAAGGTGAAATCACGTGAGAACAGAGATGTGACTCCAGCTAGCACCATGAAGGTGACTGGTGATCTTAACAAGAACAATTCCAGCAGAGAGGTGGTCACAGAGCCAGACTACAGAGGTTGATGACTGGAGGGGTGGTGAGGAAGTGGAGAGAATGAAAAAAACCAAACTGTCTTTTGAGAAATGTTGCTATGAAACAAAGCAAAAAGAGGCCAGCAATTGGAGAAAGGGACAGGTCAAGGAGAAGTCATAAAAAGTGTGACATAGTAGAGTATATTTCTCAACAATTGCAAGGATTCCTTAGGGTGAGGTTGAAGCTGGAAGGGTGGGGGCATTATCCATGGAGTAAAAAAGTCCTTGAGGAAGTGAGAAGAGAACAGATCCAGGGTGCAGGTAACCAAATTGAAATTTAAAACCTCTGTATGATAAACATCCACATAAAGATGAATGATAGTCTATTAGAAGATATCTACAGTCCATGTATTACAGAGTTAGTATAGTCATATACATTTAAACAAATGAGAATTTCATAAGCAAAAGACAAATGACCAAGAGAAAATAACATGAACAGGCAGGAGGAAAGTTGAATGGCCAATAAAAATATAAAAAGATCCTCAGTGTCATCAGTAATTAGGCATATGTGGGTTTAAAAAAAAAAAGATGCCATTTTTTTACCTATCTGATTAGCAAAGTTTTTAAAATGTGATAATATCAGTGTTGGGAAGGGTGTGGGAAAGAAGTAATGTCACACACTGCTGGTTGAAATGGAATTAGTGATACTATGTTGGATGGTGTAGGGCAGACAAAGCTTTACCTCTACCTTTATAGGAACCCCAGCAGGGCCTGAGAATTAGATTGGCATAAAACAGACTAGCAGGAGAGGAACATACAGATTTATTTAATTTTAGGTTTTATGTGACTTGAGAGACTTTATAAAGAAATGACTGCCCAAGGAAGTTGCAAAATCTCAATGCTTTCCTACTATGTTGCACAAAGTGAGGCAATTGTGAAAAAGTAATTAAAATATACAGGAAAGCTAAAGAAAGATAAGAGTTGTTTTAACAAAATTCGATTGTTTACAGAGAATTTTCTCTGTCTCTGTTGATAAAGATATTTCTTTCCTCCTGATACAGAGCAGGCATCTTTTACATGGGAGTTTTATATGCTTTCAGGAAAAAAAGAAGTCAGAAAGTTCTGCTTGAAGAACTGAGCACTTGGCTCATACCTGTAATCCCAGCACTTTGGGAGGCTGAGGCGGGAGGATCACTTGAGGCCAGGAATTTTAGATCAGCTTGGGCAACACAACAAGATCCCATCTCTACAAAAAGAAAGAAGAAAGAAAGAAAGAGAGAAAGAGAGAGAGAGAAAGAAGGAAAGAAAGAAAAAGAAAGAAAGAAAGAAAGAAA